TACAACTACAACAACAACAAAACAATACTTCAACACAGCAGCTCAGCAACACGTCACCGGGTCTCCGACCCGGGTTATTCAAAAATCTTTGATTGAAACTTTTCTTTTTTTGCGAGATTTTAGTTAGTACTCATGGAGTGGTAGTGGCCTAATAACGGCTAGGGTGCTGCACTCGGATCGGGTGGAGTGGTATGGGTAAAAGCCCTGACCAGTATTTTTGCGTTGCGTTCTTGAGCAAGACACTTTACTCGCAGTGTCTTTTTCCACCTAGGAGTGTAATTTGAGACTGGGGGGGGGCAGAGGTGGGGAGCACATAATCCTGCGATGGACTAAGCTGCTCGCTTCATTCTAGAGTAACCGGTATCAGCTCCGGCCGAAAGGGCCATTTGGCTGACGCAGAATTTACCATGTAAAGTATAAAGTTAACCACATGGTATGCAAATATTTGCAGTGATTACCTCTCCAAATTCTTGTAACTGGAGGAAGTTAAATACATGTGGTACAGTACTTGTGTTGTACAATGTAAAAAGGCGTGCACCAAAAAGCCCCTTTAGTAGTCAAATCTGTGAGTGTTTGTAGCCGGGCAATGGCAGCCAGTGTTTTCCTCTCGTAGTCAGTAGGAGTGTGCTCCAGCTGTATGAGACACCAGCACAACACAGACTTAAGCAGTATACTGAAAAGTTTCTCAAAACCGAAGGATAGAAAATATAGGCAGATCATAAGTTATGCTAGATTTGGCTTTATCGTGCTTGAAACAACCTGGGCTGAACCATGCTACCGAAAAAAAAGTGGAAAGGGCTATATAAAAAAAGAACCAGTGTTAACAGGTTGAGTACGGCTAACAGGTTGTACCTGCTAGTGTTTGGGAATATGAGAACGACTTGAAGACAAAGGGCGGCCATGCACTTATTATAGGAAGCGTGTAGTTGTATTTTAGCGAACCGGTCTTGTTATACACAAAAGACTAGTTAATCTTACAGAGATACCATTGAATAATGAGAGATTTATTTACCAACTTTTTCTTTACCGAAAACCAAACTTTTAAAACGCGCTTTACGTTACCGCCTCTCCCCCATCCCCTCCCCCCCCGCCCGCGAACAAAGAACTAACCGTATTAACAAACGTTTCCTGAAAATAGTAAAGACGGAGAAGGATTTTTGTACCCGTTTCGTACATTATTTGTACTCCATGCAATTAAGTAGAAATGGAAAAGGCCTTAATTCAAAACATTTATCTCGGCTTATTATTTTAAGCCTATAGCTTGACACAAATCTATGAAGTCATCATTAAATAAGCAGGTTAGTGGAATGCCGATTTTATTATCCCAAGCAATGTTTTGATTCCTTGCCTAAAAAGTCAGAAGACATTTTCCCTCGATGTTTCGAAACTGCTTATTTATCGAACGAATTTCCCGTTCCCCGAAAAATCGGGAATCCACTATACTGCAGAAATCCTCTGTCTCAACGTACAAAACTGAATCACTTAGACACTAACCAAGAGCTTTCAACAAACAAAACCTTCACAAGATTAGAGGTGTCTAGCTACACAGCTGGTTGTTTGCCTCCGTAAAACAGTGGTTTCAGGAAGGGAATGGACGAAAGTTTTTGCAAAGCTTGTCACAGAGGCTCACAAAAGGAAAATTCAAGAGTAGCGTTCAAGGAAGCGTTTGCATCAAGGATATTCTTTTTAATGGTTCTTGTGTAAATTAATTTGCGGCCGAAAATCAGATAAAATGGGTTTGGTGAGAAGAACGGAATGAAATCAAGGCGTTGTTTGAGTTATAAGAGTCTTTCATCGCAGCATCGCATTTTTTGTTGCGTCAATGTGCTGTTAAATGTCCCTATGAACTGCCAGACGATAATTCTTAAAATCTGAAGAAAAAACCTACTAAATCTACAGTGTTATAAAAATATATTGGCATCATTTTGTATTTTCACTGGATTCCAGTTATAACTTTCAGTTACTAGCAGTCTTCTCTATACTCTTGCACGCGTCCTTCAGCTTTCCAACCAGATCCTGCAAGAGAAATATACCCAACTTTCAGTGTTACCGTGGACCCAAGTAATTCAAGAGACAGCTAGGTTCTTTCACCCCACCACTGCTCTCTCCCAATTAACCCCCAGCCCCCAACCCCGGAGATAAACCCTTGGTTTCTCGGACAGCAGCCCTTTATTAGTTCTTCAGGGTACCCAGAGAAGCAAGAGATCGCCTAGCCTTATATGCCTCTGTAGATAACCAGTACAGGAGTATCGTGAAAGACCACATGGTTCTTTTGCGAAAATTTTCGACCAGAGTTAAGACAAAAACGAACGAGAGAGACTGGACATGCCCTACCCGTCGTGGGAGCAAATCTCCTCGTTGTCTGTCACGAAAATATGAGCAGCTTAGGGACGGACCATTATTTTTTTGAGGGAGGGGCTCCAGGGGGGGCTGGGTAATTTTCTGGGGCATGAAATTTTTTTTTGTTATAGTTAAAGTTGTGCATGATTTTCCTGGTGGGCAATAGCTTGTGCAATCATTTTTAAAAAAAATCAAACACAGGACCTGAATGGTAGAAAGCACTTGCTCGATTTTTTTCCCATGGCTCCCCTTGCACGATTTGTTTTTTCAGCAGTTTTTGCTGTGCAGGAATTTTTTTGAAAATTGCCAAAACTATCCAGAACGAATGTTTATTTTACCTGTAACTGCTCCATCGAGCAAGAAAATTGCACATCTTTTCCCTGTTTCTTTCCAGGTTCCTAAATTAAAATATAAGCACAAAAGGTTATTGACAAATAATTTCTCCCTACAACATTAATACACTGCCAAGAAGGCAAGTGATGAGAAGACATTAAATCATCGCATACAGGAAATTCTTTTCAACCCAGAACTACCATTAGTTAGGAGAAATGGATAATAAATTGGATAGAATACATGTAGGTAAAATTTTAACCTTTGGGAAATTGATTGAATTTCTCTTGCGCCATACTGTGTCGTTAAATTTTGAAATGATTTCAATTATTGCTTTCCCACAATCCCTCAGCCTTCAAATGCCCCATCCGTATTCAGGTGAAAACAAGGACTCTTTTATTAGTTTTAATTTAGAAAACACATAGCTGAGTAGAAGTGAGTGTTATAATTATGATTTTTAACGAACACTGAACTACAGCACTACATACCTCGGTTTTTAGAGTGATAAGGTAGGTAGGTTTGTTCACTTTGTCCATTTGATTATTCTATAAAATAAACAATGAGGCATAAGTAGATGAACTGATCAATTAAATGACAGACAAACAGACAGACAGACAGACAGACAGACAGACAAATTGATTGACTGACTGATTGTCTGCCAGGCTGATTGACTGACATAAATGAATAGTACATGTGTTTTTAGTTAGGTCCACTCGAGTCAGTTTAGGTTCTCAAATGTACAATGTAGTTTAGAGCTGATTTGAGAGTGTAGGGTTAGTGTTTCAATATTGTTAGGGTCATCTGAGATCATCTTGCCTTGTAACACTCTCTTTTCAGCAGGCTTTGGTTTTTGTGTGTTTTGACTTATTTATCCCAAATGCTGATGATTTATATATGGCTCTGAGGCCAAAGAATACAACACTTCAATAGGCCATTTCCGAATTAACTTTATCCTCTTTCTCAAAGCGAGTCTTGGTGCTAATCCTTTCATATGAAAATGAGATTTCATTCAGATGCAAATTATACCTGTTTTCATGTGAATGGTTGTGCACCAGGCCTTGCTTTGATAGAGAAGCTTAGGGTAACTCGGAAATGGGTATTGCACTTCATTTATCGTTTCTTACTTGTAAGGGCTAAATATTTTGTCCCTGCTTACCTTAATATAATAATCCAGTCTCCAATCCACATCAACAACATGAGGAAATGAACTGCCAGTCCTAAAAATGTACGAAAGGCTAAGGACTAGAAAATACTTGTTATGGCTTAAGATGAAATCTGACAGAAAATCGAGCATTTTCATTTTTAAGTGGACAAAAATCTGGTACCAGAATAATTTTAAGTATTTTACAGTCCTTTTTACATTTTCTTAAGGCTAAAGATATAAATAATTGCCTGAAATAACACCGAAAACAATTTCCCATGGGAACGAGAGAAAATAAATTTGAAAGTTCAGAGAAATTGTGCAAATGCAGGTAAAAATACGGTAATTTAATCATCAGTTTCATTTCACCAGTACTTTCAGGTCTTTCATACGAAGTTCAACATTTGTTTTCGACATTTGGTGTTGCTAGAAATGATTTTTTTGAGAAGATATTTGAAAGAGTCCTACAGAAGTTTGCAATACGATGTAAATAATCTTGGTACTAGGTTTTTGTCCACTTGTTACTCAAATTTCTGGTGGATTCTGTCTTAATATGTTTCGATCCAGACTCTACACTATCCATGCTGTGAAAGCCTACAAATGTAAATAACAACAAGTGAACTTCTTAATATACATGTACAAGTGCTTGTACAATATCATTAATTAGAACTGTCTGGTAAATGCAAATACTACTGTCATTTAGTATAATTTCAGAGCTGAACAAAGAGTTTCCAGCAATCTGATTGGTTGAGTGATTCCTTATATGACATTGTATTCACCGTGCCAAGCGGTGAATATAACATTTTTGAGGCCTGGTTGCTAAGCTTACCACCTTTACCATCTTGGCAAGTAAACATGGCGGACAATTGCTGAATGAGTTTTTCATTTATTCAGAAGAAATCACTCCGAGTCCAGGATATTTGAAAGGATGGACAATTTTCAAAAAGACTGCTGTCATCCTTGGAACAAAAATCCTTGCAAGAACTTGTATTCAAGGCATTTAAGAATAGTAAATGCAGTGGTTAGGTTGATCGCCAGTAGGTCAGATCAACTGACCATTATTTATGTTTCTTCAAACTAAAGCTACTCATTTTTAGCAGATGACGACAACTGTGAATGAAGTTAACAACATTAAAACAAGGGTACTGGATGAATTTATTTTTCGTAGTGTTTAGATTGTTTGTTTTACTGCAGAAACCAATGAGTAAACTGATTCACAACTGATGTCCATGTAAGCTTATTATAAAAACTATGGCTGCATACGTGTATGCAAAAGAACAATTGCATCTGTGTTTTTATGTTTTACAGTAGTCCATTATTTTGTAGTCCTTGATTATTCACTTCTGAAAATTATACTAATTATACACCTCAGGCTCAGTGAACATTGGTGAATATTCACCTCGACTTCATCTTGAGTGGTGAATATATTCACCGATGTCCACCTTTCCTTCGGCAAAAAATTGTTACCCGGTAATAATTAATGGACTAATCTTCTTTAATATTATTAAAAGTTAAAAAGCAATCACACCTTCCTGCCAATACAACTTGGCAGACTCATTAATATGTAATAAATTGCTATGTGATTTTATACCTTGTTTCAAACCTCTTCTCATTAAATGGCAATGGAGAGCATACATGTATTCAAATCAATGCCTAAATTTTACACTATGACTACTTGAACTGAGCCACTTGGAAAAGAGTTAACCAATCAGAACATTACTTGAGAACAGAGGATAGCTACATGTATATCTTTTTCTTAAATAAACCAATAACATTAAAGAATAGGAACAAATAACAAAATTGAAAACCCAACAAAGTGCGAAGTGTTGCGAACCTCTCAGGAAACTTTGCTATTTGTCGATAGGTTAGTTTCAATCATAAATTTTTGTATGCTTTTCAACAGTTTCAGTTTAGTGGTTGCAAAATGATTTTTCAAGCTAGAGTTTTTGAGTGAAATTCATAATTAAATGGAAATTTGCCATCAAGGACTGAATCTGCCAAGTGTATATAACACAGAAGAGTCTATGGTATTCACATATTCATATGAAGCGACACCTTACTCGCATCCACAAAAAACCCCAGCATTCCATAGTTCTCAGTTTAAGTTCTGCTTGGTTAGTTTTGTATTAAGTGGCTCGAGTGGTTCAAGTAGTCACAGCGTTTTGGCTTTGATGTGACTGTTTGAAAATAATGACAGTTTGAAAAACAAGCTAACTATTTTAAACAGGAAAGTGAAACTAATCAACAACATTTTTATGCATGCTTTTCTTCACCACCAACATTTTATAACTTACTCAAAGCACAGGAAAATGCCTCAACAACAAGTGTCAGAGTTTGTCCCAACAATATTATGAAAAAGGTATGACAGGGGGCCCAAGAGCCACCCTTATTTTGGGTAAAAAAGAAAATCACAGAAGGAAAAAAAGCCGGCAGGGCAAGCAAAGAAAACTGGGCTCCCCCCTTAGCTCAAGGTCTGGATCTGCCACTGGGCAAGGTTGAGAAAAGCAAGTTAGTGGCAAAAACAATAGGCAAAAGTAAAGTCTACATAGGCTCAAGTGTCCAATAGGTGCCATGAAAGATTATCCCAGTTTCCAAAGCAAGGAGCTTCTGTACAAGGAGTATAATTTCTAAAACTCCCTGGATGGTTTCATCAAGATGATGCCAAACCTTTTGCAGAGCTGCAAAGTAGATGTCTCACTGGATTATATACAGTAGTATATTGGGAAAATAAAACAAACAGGCATACCTTGCTAGGAGTGCTTCCAAATCAGGTTTGCAATCCTACAACAAAAGAAGGAAAAAACATTGTATGACTATTGATCGCCATGCCATATTTTCTTTGATCTGAAGTTTACTCCACAATGTCCAGGAGTAATTTAGTAATATCCGTAACTACATGTAGTACAGGCAGTTCTGAATCAGGGAAGAGATCCTGTAATATTGCTATATACAGGGTACAATAAGAAGTTGCGCAGAATATATTGCTAAGTACTTGAGATAAAATTCAGCAAATATTGTCTCTTTCACAACTTGCTCAATTTTATTGTCAGAAAAAAAGTTTGGCGAACTCAGTTAAGGTTACTTGCCAGATTGGCAGTAAATTTTGTAAAGTTATTGTGCTACTTACTACTACTGTACATACCAGAAAATGCTTTGTAAAATACTCTACTCTGTCACTGCCCCATTTGCAGTCTTCAAGCACAGAACTGCAATGAAAGACACTGCTGTATTACTGAGGAAAACAACTGTGGAGAAATACTTGCCTTTAGTTGATTACTTTTAGTCTGGTAGGTTTTCATCCCTTCCATTTATAATGGAATTCACAGTTTTGCTCAAGATTAGATTCTCTATCAGATTGTTGAGTTGAAATGACACACAGTTCAGTCAAGCTGTTATGACATGCCATTGGCTTTAGACTGGTCTCCAAAACAAAGAATTACGGACAGAAGTAAACTTGAAACTGAAGTAAACTTGCATCTTGCAAAGGATGGAGTTAGCCTCCCCCCCAACTTCCCCCTCCCTCCCCCCCCAAAAAATAACAAAACAACAACAACACCTTCCATAAGGGGGAGGAGGGGGGAGAAGTCGCACTGATATTCCCTTGAACAGCACAATGCTATCAGTACAAACTACATGGAATTTTTCACCAAAAATCTCAGACACCTGTTTTTTCTTAGAGGATGGTAACTAAGTGCATCAATTAAGAAACAGATTATTTTTAATTACTGTTTTCTGGTAGGTACAAAAATGGTAAAGTCTGTATACAAGCCAAGTAGCCCTTCAGGCTGGCACTCATCTCCGTTTTCTGTATCATGAAGTGACTAGGAGCAATTCTACTTCCCCCTGGATGTGATTGCCAGTATTCATTTATAATACACCTGCATGAAGAGAGGCACTATGAGAGTGAAGTGTCTGTTGCAAGAACACAGCACAATGTCCCCCACCAGGGCTTGAAGTTAGACTGCTCGATCCGAGACTTGTAAGTACTCTAACAATGAGGCCACTGCACCTCCACTCTTCTCTGACTCTCTGACAAATGTTTTTTTTCATTATAGTAAGAGTGCTTTCAATAAGCTTTGTGGTAGGTGGACTGACCCTGGCACAGCATCCATCAGAAAGCATTACAGATGCCCAATTTTTGAAACTGCTAAATAAATGTTATATTTGGGGATTTACATGTACAACTTATAGAATATCTGCCAGAGCTCCTGACCAGCAGGTGCCTGGTCTTATCAAAAGCATTTTTTAGTGTTATTAAGCGGAGTTTACCTTAAGCTGGATGAGTCGCAATCCACCTTGACAGCCTCCAGTATCATTGTTACTAAGCCAGCATATGCCTGCTTTAAGGTTGCAGCTTCAACACTAGCAATATCTTCATCATCTGCATAATGTAAATAAGAACTATTATGTATCTTGGGTGCAATAATGGTTTTACAAACTCAACAATTATTATGCGATTAGTTCAGAGTCATGCTTTTTGTAAGGGTATATAACACTTTTATCCACATAACTCCATGTGTACAGTAGTTAGACACTTACATGTATACCAAGTCTCCTGGATACAGACCGAAATCTCCCAGTCTCCCATAAAATCTCCCAAACAAAATGAATGAAAGTCAATAAAATACATTTTTAGACATATTTTGGCTGATGTTGCCATTTTGGGAGAACAATTTTGGATTGTTGATGCATTTTTATGGTCTAATTGGCAGAGCTCTCCTGTACATGTACTTTGAACAACATGTTTTTAAGGTCAAAAAAAGGTAAAATTGATGATCTCCCAGATTTGGAATTTTTCAGGTTGTCAATCACTACATGTACCCATGCTTAATGTATACCATCTATTTGATAGCATTGCTCATCATGTAGACAACTAGAGAACTACCAAGTTGAACTCTTGAATAAAATAAAATTTTTTAGATAAATGCGCTGACTACGTCGATAAAAGTTCTTCTCCAGATTGAGGCATAGAACGCCGCAAGGTTTTCTCACTTGTATAATGTCTCACTCATGCAGACATTATACAAGTGAGAAAACTTGATGAGTTTCTGTAAGGGTAACCAGGGAAATTTACAAGCCAAAGGGTCTTGGATAATTATGATGTCCCTTTGGCTACTATTTGCTATTTGCAGTCATGCAAATTCCTATGGCATCCCCGGGGAGGTACTTTGGGAATTTCTGGGTGGGGATGTGCCACTGGGACCCTGGAACCCTTAGCCTATACATGTACCAGAGCTAGTTCAGCTGAATTTTGCCACCCTGTAGTAGAGCAAGCTTTCCAAATCCCCTCATCTATGGACACTGTTGAGGTTGGTTAAATTTAGACTTGCCAATTTGATTTTTTTATATTTTTGAGTGGCAATTCCTGGTTTCCTTAGTCTAGATAAAATCTTCAACCAAC